TTTTACAACTTTTTTCATTGTATGTAGAAGAAAAAGAAAAGCAAAAAAAGAAAAGAAAAGAGCAGAAAAAAAAAAAAAAAAAACACGAAGCTAGGCACTGTACGAACAATTCTTACTCTGACTATTTTGCATTTTTTTTACTACATTACATAAAAGTCCTATTTACGCTTACTCGAGCTTACTTTATTTATTTATTTTTTTTTTTGCTTTTATATCATGAAAGTTTAAATGCGGTGAAGATCGACGTCAAGTCACTTAAATTGACCTTTAATACTTAAAATTTATGATTAAAGTTATTTGAAATCCGCAAGGTCGCATAACACGCACACATTCAATTGAAAGAAAATTATCGGGAATTGAAGCATTAAAAATCTCAATTCATCGGCTCCTCCTCGGTTACTAGGATTGGTATCGGAGACATTTGCATATTTGTTTGCTTACGACAGCTTGCTATGGATTAAAGAGTTTGATCATAAAACTGAATCTCCGCTTCCACTGCGTTTCCACTTGAATTTTGCGAAAAGTCTACTGTCTATCATATGTATCTGTCGGCCTCTGAACGAGCCATAAAAGAAGGCTGGAGATTCAATTCGTAATACGATTTGCAAAATAAAAGCGCGAAGAGATTGAAAAGTAAGTCATTTAAACTTATTGGAGACAGATCAATAGATTATCATGTCTCTCATAATTGCGCTGGCGCTTGGGATATCTCAGTAAGTGGCCTTGGCCCGCTTGACTGGGCAGAGCTCAGAGTTCAGCTTCTGCTGAAAGCGAGTCGAATGAAAATTGATACAACAAATAGGATTTCCGGAAAAGGCCTACAATAATTGATGGGAATATCGTGCATGTAAACCGTTCTGAATGGAGTCCATTGTGGAGGCGATTATTTATGCTTTTGTGTATAACATTTTCGGCATTTTCGGCGACTTTTTTTTGTTAACAAAACATTATATTCATTGGAAATCTTTGGAAACTTATCTTTGGGAAGAAAGCAAATTAGAGATAAATAAATATTATTTTTATTATGTTTAGAATGCGCAATTTGATATTTATTGGTATTAACGAGACACATAATCATTTATGATAGAGTCCAAGACCTTGAACGAACGTATCAACTAAAAATACTTAAAATTGACCTTGTCTGGAAGTGTTTCTTTTTTTAATATACGTATACATATGTGTGCCTGTGTTTGTATTATTTTTTTTAAAAATATGATAATACATTTTTAAGGCATAATTATTTCATTAATTATACTAAAGTATTTCCCACGTTATATGCTGAGAGAATTATTTCACTGATTTGATTCAATTATAGGTAATAAAGAGAAACACATATATTTTTATATCTGATTCGTTGACTATTACAATATATATGCAAAAAAGCAAAATAAGACAACAAAGTAAATCAATTTTACATCGTAAGAGAAAATATCTCATAGATAAGTAGAGACGAGAATCTTCTGACCGCAAGTTCTTTTTCCCATACAAGATCGCAAAGCTGCTATCCTGTTAAAATATCCATTAGAGTGATAGATATCGTTCAAACAAGTTCTAACAACAGCAACCTAAAAAACTAAGATATAAGGGCATAAATGAGCATCAGCCAACAAGTTTGGTAAGACATAGATCCAATGTCAAAAATCACAAATTGTCACATGATTGATCAAAACGAAACGCCGAATTGATTCATTCATTCTTCTACTCGTCTTTTTTTTTATTTAAAAAAACTTTCATAAATTGGACATGTCTCGGCATATATATCTACGAGATTGTTACTACAGCGAGGGTAAATATTTTTTATAAAAAGAAAAAGGATTGACCTTTTGACGGAAAAAATTCATTATGGTAACAATCGAACCAAATTCTCAATACGACTTTGAATTTGGGGCATCTCTAGAATGGCTTTCACGCTTTTAGTTCGCTTTAGTTTTGGACGATATTTGCTTAGTTGATTGTCTGTTTGCTGGCTATATACATCAAATTATTTTATAGCGTTCTGGTTGAGAGGAATCATTGTTTCTTGGACCTCGTAAAAACCACAAAAAATTCATTTTTGTATTTAAAAAAAAAAAAAAAAAACCCGTACAACTCTGCAGCAATTAAACATGTTTACATGCGATTCTGCATAAATCAAATCAAAGGCAATACTATAAATACACAAAAAATAATTAAATAAATAAATAAATAAATAAACATATTATATATGTATATACAAATGCATAAGTAATTATCTATAGCGTAGATCTAAGGAAACTAAAACTAATCGTCAAATTCATTACTGATACATCGACATATCGGCAAACCCTCTTCCCACACGGATATGTATAAACTTTGACTGTTAAGCAAATGCGGATAGAGCTAAATGATATAAAGGTAAGAGAAATAAAGGAGAACAGGTGAACAATTAAATGATTAATATAATGTAAAATCATTATAAGCATGAAAGTTGAGGAGGCTAACAAATAAAGATATATCGATAAAATACGCATTAATGTAATCAATTAAAAGCGTAACGTATAAATGCGTACGTATGTCAATATAGAAGGAAACAAATTTACAAAAACATATATGAATGCTGAAGCGTATTAAAGGTGTTTGAATCGAAGTAATCGCACATCAGGACAAAAATAACAAAAAAGAAAAACACAATTCAGCTTAATTAAGGGTTTTACATTTATTAACGTAATACATTGTTAAGTGAATACCTACACAAACGTATATATGTATATACACATATATATATATATATATATATATTATTAATACGCTTCTCCAATTTTTGTATCTTTTTAACTCTCTTTCTCTCTGCTTTTCGCAGATTTTGATGCTGGCTGCGTTACAGCTGATTATACGGAGGCTTATTTTTCTTGCCATAGAAGTGATGAGAATTTTATATGTTGGTTTGGTGCATATGTTTGTGTCTGACTACTGAGAACCTGTTATAGCATAATCAACAGCAACATCAGAATGAAGCATCAACAACACAATCAGTTAAACTCACACTTGTTGATGGATAATTACATACGTTGTACCTATAATAGATGTATATATATATATATATATATATATAAACCTACATGCTTTCTTATAAATGTATTGAAATATAAAATGTTGTTAGTGTTGCTATTGTACGGACGCCAAGACTTGAGTGCGTGCATATGTGTGTTTATTACGTTTATTCTTTTTTTTTTTTTTTTATTTTTTTTTTTTTATATATATATATATATATATATATATATATATATATATATTCTCAAGTGATGTTAATGATGATGGTGATAAACGTGATTGTTTTTCCTGATTTTACGAGGGCTGTACAGTAAGTATTTACATTAAACAAGCTAATAGACATAACATATGTCAATAAAGTTCATAAAAAAACCAATCAAAGTTTTAGAATTGCAAATGTATGCATGTATATGAAAGTGAAGGTACTCCAATGAGTGTTACTGAATATCATTAGCTTCCGCTAGGTAACGTTGGTCTATTATTTCCATTACATTTCAAGAATTTCGGATAATTATATCGCTCCCAAGTAACCACACCTGAATACCGATAGATGCGGTTGTTCTCCGTTTATCTATTGCATTTGTCAAGTATCTAAAGCTTTGAAGCCAGCATTGAATTAGAAATGTTAGAAACACCATTGTAAGCATATATACCGTCAGGATTCTTATCGGCATGGTGTGAGCTAGCCAGCCATCGCCGAAGTCAATTATATGATAATTTTAATCAATTGCGATTGTTTATGCTTAAGATTACTAGTATTTAATTTCGATTTAACATCTTTGATTGTGCAACCATTAATAGAATTAAATAGAAGAAGCACATTTTCGATTAATTATTTCAATCATATATTTGTTAGGAATTTTGAGGGACGATTATCTTCTACAGAAAATCATCTTATCATACAGTTCTCGTATACGAGATGTATAAACAAAGGAAAACAAGAAAATGGTAAAGGAAAAAATATCTTTTTCAAAAGAGAATAACACAGTTAGCTTAAGCCAATGTAGATATAAAGGGAGAGAACACGAATGGTTATACCCACATAGATTTACAGATTTATGGAGTTTAATGGTTTTGTTTTTATTTTACAAAAACCGCTAGACGAGAACAATACAAAGAAATCAACAAACTAAACATCGGCTTAAACTTATACAAAAATGCCGAACACAAATAAAAATTCTTATCACTCTTACTCTCAATACATTCGCATATACGCGCACACGAACGCATAGAAAAAGTTCAGTTATGAATTTAGATACTCAATAAATAAATGGTACGACTCTTTCTCCATCTCTCTCTCTCACTCGCTCTCTAACACATAACTTTGCTCTGATTTTTGGGAGTTCAATATTAAGTTAAAGCGCAGTGCGCACAGTGCATATATAATCAGTATATAATTATATATATATACATACATACATACATACATACATAAATACATACATACATATACCTACTTACATATATATATATATATATATATATATATATATATATATATTTATAATTATGTTCATATGTATATGTATATGTATATGTATATGTATATACGAAAAATAACAATAGCACAAATTTTTGTATGTAAATTTCAAAGTGTTGCAATTTTAAACAGCTGACTGGGGCCGACTGGTTATGCAGAAATTTATTAAAAACGGCGCCAAACTCTCAGTTTGTTTTGTATAATAAAATTTCATTTCTCTTTTATATGAATCTCTTTGATTCTTTTGCCAGCTCTCAGGGATTTCTCAGCTGTTGGATACAAATTATTACTCCATGTATAACTCTCCACATATAATAATCGATCGATCATTTGAAATGGCATCGTATTTCTTTTTGCTGGTTTTGTTGATATCGCGCGTTACTTGATTTAGTTTGTGCGGTCAGTCGGTTTTCGGTTGATGTTGTTGTGCTTCTGCTGTTGCGTTGTGTTTGACGTTTTCACTTTATAAGCCGGTCAAGTCAGTCGGTCACTATAAGTATGAAATAAACAAACAAATACCAAAACACGCACACAACGCAATAGCAGAAGCACAACAACATCAACCGAAAACCGACTGACCTGACCGGCTTATAAAGTGAAAACGTCAAACACAACGCAACGACAGGCTCACACTCATACAGATTAAAATATCGTGTGAGCAAGCACGCTTTGTGCTTTTAGTTGTGGTCGTGGTGTTGTATTCTGTGGGGAAAAGGCAAGCGTTAGTCAGTTATTTATTGGCCTGATCGTGGCATATTCAATTCATTCGCTTGCTTGCGCTGTGCTATACACAATACGTTCACACATTTGTGTTCAGTAAATTGTGTTTTAAGGAAAGCGGATACGGATACGTGGGTTTTTTATTAACCGTAAACGGATTATTTAAACGGTACACATGAAAAAATACTCGAAATCTATAAAGTAAAATAAATGTGTATTAAAAATACAAAAATAAATTCTATTTAAAACAAAAAAAAAAAAAAAACAAAAAAAACAAAAAAAACAAAAAAAATAACAAAAATAACAAAAAAAAAAACAAGTAGCATAAAGGAAAGGCAACAAAAAGAAAAATGACCATTAACTAATTTGTAACTAAAATTGTTGCGCTATACTGTGTTGTGTTATTGTATTGCGCTCTCTGTCCTATTACAAATTACAATTCGAGAGCTTCTCATTCTTTATTTGTTCATCGATCAGCAACAGTAAAAAACATTCTTTATTGTTCTTCTTGTTGTAGAAATTATATATATATATATTATATATATATATTATATATTATATATATATATTATATATATATATATATATATATATATAAATATATTATTAGAATGATCGTTTCTTTATCATTGTTGGATTGTATTCCATTGATTATACGCAATCATACTAATGTTTTTATGGTTTTTCCTTTAATTTTTTATGTTTTATGCAAACACTAATAAATATATATACATTAGAAGATCATAACTGCATGCGTTAACAATTTTTTTTTTTTTTTTTTTTTTTTATTTTCATTTTGTATATTTTTACTCATTTTTTTATTTATTTACTTTTTTTTTTATTTTTTTTTTTTATAACACATTAAGTGTTTTGTGTAGTAGAAGTGCACAAAAGACTTTTAAGAAAATTTTTATAACCAAATGTTTTAGTAAACTGTAATTGTTTGCTGTGATAAATTTCCAGGAAGAGGTGAGTGAATTCATACCTTTGGCGCAACATACATAACTTTTTTTCTTCTCTTTTTGAAAAGTTATTGCTCGCGTTCATCTCGAAAAGGAAATAAATGCACGAAATTTTTAAGAAATGAAAAATACGTGACATCTACCGAACCGATCAACTTACGATCATTTGCGTTGCGTTGCGTGCGCCTCTCTTTTTAAGTCTAGAATTTCATAATTAAATTGTCCATATGTAATCTTATTCTAAAGCAATGAAGAGAAATGCCTCCAACCATTGCTTCGCAATAAAATTAAATGTTCGAACTTCATGTTTAGGCGCGTAAACGGACATATATCATGACTTTTCCTGTTAACAACTAACTGTAAGACTTATAATAGTCTTTCTAGGAAGAGGAAATTTTTTTTTTTTTCTCTCATACTTCTTAGGGAGGCAATATCAAATAACTATTTATTATTTTCGTACGTCTTCGGCGACCCTTTTATTTGTCATGTGAAGATAAGCAGCTGAAACGTTTTCCCAAAAATTCAATTTATTATTATTTTCTCTCTCATAGTTCTCGTACTAAACGCATTGATAACTAGAGCGTAAATACACGAAGCTATTTTGTAATATTTTTAACATAAACTTTCTTTCAAAGATCTTCCAAAGTATTATTGATTCAATTGTTTATTTTAAAATTTTATGGGTAAAGAACGTTTTTATTAATTCTTTGTACGCACAATCGAAGAAGGGGAATTCTCTTCCCATTTGTAACATGTCGAAAGCGACTTTAAGATGCGTTAGATTATGATTTGATTTAGCCTAATTGGCCGTCTGTTCGTCCATCACTTGTCCATAGTTAAGGATTGCGGTCACAAAAAGTGAAGAGTAAAACTGAACTTTATAAAAACCGTAAACATTCTTTCTTAACTAGGGGCTAGAGATTTGCTTTAAAAACGCATTTAGGGCAACAGTCACGCCCATAAGGGAAATGTAAGAAAATGAAAAATCTTCAAATAAAAGCTTTATAAGCAAGTGGCCGTGAAAAAGGATTCCATCGAATTTATTTTCAATAAGACACACACTCGTAGAACGATTGCGATATATATAGCGATATATATACTGATTATGAGATACAATTTGAAAAATTCTCCTTTTATATAAATAAGTACTCGCATCAACGGAAAGAAGAGAAAAGCTGCATGCAAATGCTGGGAAAGTTGAAGAAACGGCTTATCCAGTTCAGACTTTATTTAACTTATTAATTAATGAAAATAAATGTAGCATAGTTTTTACTCTGCAATTATGACATTTTTTAAAGGAAATGTCATACCATGGTATGTCGGCAAGAAAATAGAAATTGCATTCGTATGTTTATGTCGGTGAACCATTAATATTTGTGCATAATATTTATGAGTTTCGGTTACCTCTTGAAATAAATATACGATGAAATGTTTGACCTACATACGCGATGCAATATTTAGTGTCATATCAATTTAAATATATTCTAAGGTTTTTATTTAGTTGCGGCTTAAATCTCATTAAAGCTTTGATATAAATTACGTTAGAATTACGCAATAATTTGAAATTAGATTTTTTTTTTTTTTTTTTTTCATATGTTTTCTTTCATTATTAATCCAACAAAAATTGTTACTTAGCAACAGCAATAGCAATGACAACGCAGAAACAGTATTCAGTTACTGTGCTTATATACAATTTTATTTATAACCATTTTTTCGTTTATACATTAATTACTCTCGATCATAGGCTAATACAGCCGGTTAAAAAACGAAATTTTATGCACTTGTTTATACATATATATATATATATATATATATGTATAAATATATATGTAAATATATGTATGTATGTATGTATGTATGTATGTATGTATGTATATATACATATATGCAAGTAATGGTTGTGCTAGATTTTGTGGCGGTCAAAAAATTTATGTAACAAACTAATCGACCTACAAATTAAATCAGCATACAAATGTATGTCTATGAAAATCATATCTATGTACATATATATGCATGGACAACATAAATTCTACACTTAAAAGTTGGTCAAATACAACGTATTAGCAAACAAATCTTACTTACCATCGTAACAGTGGCGTACTAACGGAGTCGGAGCACGGCATCGATACAAAATATCAATAGAGTACACGTATGACAATCTCACTTTCCCAAGCAGGCACAAATCGTGATAAAAATCCCATATTCTGACTTTGTACGAGACGCCTGTCAATATCAGTTTCTAACAAAAGCATATGAACTTAGGACGGATTTGGGCTGATTCATCCGTTATATTTATATATATATATATGTTATTTAAAGAAATCCTCTCTAATACGATCCGTTACAGTTAATGCAATTTAATGCTCGAGTCCTGCAAAAAGAAAAAATTTAATTTTAAAGCCATAGATTTAGAAAGGGATACAACAGGATATAGCGTTAATGCAAACAACATTTCGCGTCTCCCCGTGCAAAATTACGCCCACAATTAAGAGACCAAAATGTTCGCATGTGCGTGTGCATGCATGTATTTAACGGGTACATGAAATATTTCCTGTGTTTGCGCATTAATAGAATATAACTCATACGCCTCGGGATATAAACTCCCATGTCTCACCGTTTAAAGGAAACAAAGTAAAATGAAAAAAAAAAATTAACTTGCAACGGATTTAATTTTTCCTCTTTTATGGTGAGTGGCGGCGATTGTTTCTCAAGCGAACATCGCTTTTTTGTTTGACTTAAATTATTTCAGCGCCTGGTACAGCCGTGTTTGCCCGACTGTTTTCCTGATTGCATAAGCGGGCAGTCAACGCGTAAGACAATTCATTTTCTTAACTCTTGTAGAACGTTGACGGCGTCCTTTTTATTCGTAGGATCGTATTTACAATAAGTTGTCTCATCTTACCTGTTTCGGGTCGTTACGGCTGCAGTCATTAGTAAAAAATTGTTAAGACTTCTAAGCGACGGGATTTTTTTTATTCAGGGCTACGGACTGAATTCTGAATAGAAATTGAACCTCATGAAAATTCATTTGCATTTCATTCTTAAGTCTAGATTGTGTGTGTGTGTGTGTGTGTGTATGATCTATAAGGGTGTGTAAGTCTAAATAGTTCCAATGATGATGCGGTACAATAACTATGTTTACATTTTGGTTTTGATTGGTCTTGTTTTCGTTGTTGTTTTTACTGTATTTTTTTTTTTTTTTTTTTTTTTTTTTTTTGCTTCAATTAATTCAATAAATGTTCTCACACTCCGATTGTAGATAAGCAACAACAGAAACTAAAAAAAGGAAAAAATGAAAATGTAAGAAAATAAATAACACAAATCCCTTTAGAAAAATAAAAAGCAAAACCTCTTTCTCATTTATATAAACCATCTATTTCCACTCCTTTTCTATTCCATGACATTCATGTTTAATCAACTATAGCTGAAACCACGGAAAAAGCAACAACAAAATAAAAATTATCTTTAATTTTTCTATTTAGACAAAAAAAAAGAAAATAATAATAATAAATAAAACCCTAAAAATTTTTTTTTTTTTTTTCTTTTTTTTGTTTTTTTTTTTTTCTTTTTGTTAAACATGAATTGCGTGAGTTTCACGCATATACTTTCAATTACAGTGAGACACAGAAACACATAAACATAAACAAACTCATACGCTTGTGTTTATAGTAATGTAGTCATGGCTCCTCCAACTCTTTGTTTTTGTATTTCTTCACATAATGATGGTAATGAACTTGAAATTTTATATGTATTTATGTATATATATATATATATATATATATATATATATATGTTTATATAATTGATATCAACAAGTTTGTGTGTTACGTGAATGTGTAGTGAATGAATTAGAGCTTGTGTATGTGTTTTCATTTGTTTATGCATGTACATAGATTGTATACATCTTATATGCGTGTATGTATTAATTTTCTTGCTGTTTGTTTATTTATTATACCCGCCAGCCGTCAATCAGAGTACATTAATTTCGTTAATGCGTTTGTAACTTCAAGAAAAAAAAAAACATTTACTTATATATAGGACATCCTTCGCAGAAATTCATACTCAATTAATTGTGCTGCTATATAAGCTGCGTCTGCCTTATTAAGCGGCCAACTTTCAAACGAAATCTTCATACAATTTCTCTAACTGTCTCAGCGTCGTTCATAAGAATGATACACATATATGCGTTAATTTTGTGAATATCATC